GGCGTGGGGGGCTGGCGCTCCAGCTCGGGAGGGTCTCCGGGCCTCTCTGAGGTCTCCACAGATCTTGGCACTGGGGTTTGCCCACAACCGCCTCCCGTCTCCAGGGAGGGTGGAGGCTCCGGCCCTGTCACCTGCGGCACACCCCAGGCCGGGGGCAGCCTGCCCCCTCCCGCAGGCACTGCAGGAAGGCAGGCCGGAGAGATGCTGAGGGACCAGGGAGTGGCCACGGAGCCTGCCCGCCCACCGGGAGCTCCCAGAGGCTGTGTGTGGGCGCCTTGTGCGCTGAGTGTATCCCTCCCCCAATTCGAGTGCCGAGGCTGTAACCCCGGACCTCAGCGTGTGACTTTTTGGAGATGGGCCCTGTACACGGTAATGACGGTGAAAGGCGGTCAGCGGGCAGGCCCTATGAGCCTGTCTGCTGCGGACCCAGGGAGAGCAGCCATGACATGCCCTGGAGAGAGAGCTTGGCAAAGCCAACCCACCCAGAACGTGCGCTCAGGCTCAGCCCCCAGGCTGTGAGGGAGCGGGTTTGTGTGCTTTGTTACACAGCCCGCTGACTGAGACAGGTGCTGGGCTGAGGGTGCCGGCAGGGCCTGTGACCTGAGTGAACTGCCATCTCCTCCCAGTTGGACCAAGTCCTGAGACGCCCTGGCAGGAGAAAGACACACAGCCATGCTCCCGATGAACAATCTCAAAGTTCATCTGAATGGGGGAGGGGGGGTCGTCCGGAGGGAGGGGGGAGGGAAGGGCAGATAGCGTGGTGACGGGATTCACTGAATCCTGGAGGAGAGACTCGCTCAGAACACAGAAAGATGCAGTGACCCTCCTGGGAGTACCCTCCTCTCCGACTCAGGTCCTTGAATGCAGGGGACACTGCTGTTTGTTCTGTTCTCAGCGCAGCCAATGGGCAGGGTGAGGGTTGGAAAACATCGTGACCGCATGGCCATCAGGGTAAAGGCCAAGCTCCCAGAGCTGGGTCCCGCCCCAGGCTGCCGGCTATGGATGGGCATCGCCACCTGACACCAAGAAGCAGAGGAGCAGTTGTAGGCCATGGAGCCAGTAGCTGGGATGAACTTGGCAGCAAGGACTGGCTGTTTACGCGCCTGGGTGTGTTCCATCACCCTCACAGCTGTGCTCCAGCACCCCAGAAGCCCCACCTCTGCCAATGAGGGCGGCTGGGAGAGCCCCTGGGGAGTGGGGGGGAGGGGGGGACTGCCGTCACTGCTGAGGTTCCTTGGGTCCAGTGAGAAGCTGGGACAGGGAGGAGGAACGCTCTGCCTTGTCAGGTGAGATTTACAAACAAGACAGCAACCTGTACAGATGTTTGAGAAGCTAAAACTGCCCTGAATCCAGAGCCACACCACCTCTGCCTCCACATCTGTGCCGGGGCAGGGCCGCTATGGTCCCCAGGAAATCCCTGGGTGGCCTCACGGGTGCGGGTGTGCGAGCTGAGCTGCGTGGGAGGCTATTGGAGAGAAGGTGAGGGAGCACCGCTGACCCCGGCCAAGCTCCGCAGGCAGAGACATCCCTAAGGGATGATGCTTCCTCACAGCCGGCAGCTCTCACCGCGGAGAGGTAACCACCCTGTGGCGGGAAGCCTGAGGCAGCCACGCAGCCATCCCGTGGGTCCGCCAGCTCCATTCTCCGCTCTCCTCTCTCTCCTCTCCTCATCCTCCCTCCTCCCTCCTCCCTCCTCCCTCCTCCCTCCTCCCTCCTCCCTCCTTCCTCCTCCCTCCTTCCTCCTCCCTCTTTTCTCCTCCCTCCTCCCTCCTCCCTCCTCCCTCCTCCCTCCTCCCTCCTCCCCCCTCCCTCCTCCCTCCTCCCTCCTCCCTCCTTTCCCTCCTCCCTCCTCCCCCCTCTCTCCTCCCTCCTCCCTCCTCCCTCCTCCCTTTTTACTCCTCTCTCCTTCCTCTTTCCTCCCCACTCCTCCCTCCGCTCTCCTCCTCCCTCCCTCCTCTCTCCTCCCTCCTCCTTCCTCTCTCCACTGTCCTTCCTCTTCCTTTCTCCCTCCTCTCTCCTCCCTCCTCTCTCCTCCCTCCTCCCTTTTTTTATTTTTTATTTTATAAATATATATTATTGATTTTTTACAGAGAGGAAGGGAGAGAGATAGAGAGCCAGAAACATCAATGACAGAGAAACATCAACCAACTGCCTCTTGCACAACCCCCACTGGGGATGTGCCCGCAACCAAGGTACATGCCCTTAACCTGAATCGAACCTGGGACCTTTGAGACTGCAGACCAACGCTCTACCACTGAGCCAAACCGGTTTCAGCCCTCCTCCCTTCTCCCTCCTCCCTCCTCCCTTCTCCCTCCTCTCTCCTCTCTCCTCTTTCCTCTCTCCTCCCTCCTCCCTCCTTTCTCATCTCTCCTCCCTCATCCCTCCTCTCTCCACTCTCTGCTCTCAACAGCTGGTGCCCAGACCCTCACGTCCCCTCCATCGTCACAGACCCTCCCGTCCTGTGTGAAGTTGCCAGGCCGGGACTCAAAGAGCACCAGATGCTGTTGAATGAATGAATGAATGAATGAATGAATAAATGAATGAATATTCAAAACCTCACATTCATACAATGCACTCTCCCCCAGCTGGAGATTATTCCTAACAGACAGAAAGTCACAGCACATGTGTAATGAAAGGAGAAAAAAGTGCATGCTTGTTTGTTTCAGAAAGAGCAGCCAGGGAAGTAAAGGATGTAGGAAAAATGATTTATGCCTCATCAGAGAGGAGGCTGGCCCTGAAACTGTGGTGCCTTCATTCCAGAGGTTTCTCTTTACCTAGAGTAGGAAGAAACCTTTTATATGACCCATGAAGGAGCCGTGTCTGCCATGTCCCTAGCCAGCCTTCACCCTGTCATTCTGCAGCCAGAAAAGAGGATGTGCCCTTCACCTTGTACAGTGCGCCAACTCCCAGCCCCCTGGGTCTCCCAGGGCCTGAGTGAGGCCCGGGGACAGCACACAGGGAACCAGAGCCACTAAACCTGCAGAGATGAGATGAGGCTTCGGGGAGAAGAGGGCTGGAGCAGAGCTGTGTGGCTGGCCTTGGAGGGGACGGAGGTTTGCGGGGGCTGGAAGTGGAGCAAGGGGAGGTTAGATTTGAGGTCGGGTTGTGGACTGGATCTTCTCCATTATTTTCCAAACAATGCAAGTTGTCACTGGGATTCTCCTTTAATTGCCGTTGCCACCTGGATGTCTGGGAGGGCTCTTTCCTGCTTGCAGACGGCCACTTTTCTCTCTCTCTCTCTCTCTCTCTCTCTCTCACACACACACACACACACACACACACACACACGGTTTGTGGACTTTCCATCTGCAAAAGATAACCCCTCTCCCTCAGAGGCTGTGTGGTTAAAAATATTGTAATTAGCCCTGGCCAGTGTTGCTCAGTGGTTATAGCATCAGCCCTGGCACTGAAGGGCTGAGGGCTTGATTCTCAGTCAAGGATATGTACCTGTGTTGCAGGTTCGATCCTAGACTGCCTTGGGCGCATGCAGGAGGCAACCAATCCATGCATCTCTCTCACATCAATGTCTCTCCCACCCCCGCCCTTTCTCTCTCTCTCCTTCCCTCTATTCTCTCTAAAAAAAGGAAAAAAAATCAACAGAAAAATGTCTTCAGATGAGGATTAACTAAAAATATATGTATATATACCATCATTAGACTGTAAGTGTTTTTATCCAAAATAGACATGGTAACCACATGACAGGATGGAGTATTAGCTGAGCTGTGTGGTTCTCATTTGTCATTTATGCATGCATCAAATCAACAGCTGTACACCTAAACTTATACCATGTTAGTTACATCTCAGTGAAGGTGGAAAAAAACCTCAATTAAGTGAGTATTGTTTTAGGGAAGAATTACATTCCCATGTGCTTTATTTCTGGGGCAAATGATGACCAGATTAACTCCAATGGCTACTCCATCCATTAGTCAATCCCTGGTCCCCGAGGAGAAGACAGCCATGGAGCCTCCCCAGACCTCCCCCCATTCCCCTCTTACCACCACCACCACCCCCCCACCCCCCACGCTCTGGTTAGGCCAACAACTCAGCCTTCCCCTCCAGGGATCAGTCCTTACTTCTGGGTCTCCCAAGGCCCAACACCTTCTTTCCTCTGCCCCACGCTCTCCACAGGCCCATACAGGAGCCTCCCTGGTTCCCAGCCGGGGGACCAGACTTAGGGGGCTGCGGGGGGACGGGGCTGGGGAAGTGTGGGTATCTCCTGGTCCCCCTCACCCAGATCACGGTGCAGCTGGAAAGGAGCAAAGGGTCTGGCCTGGCCTCAAAGCAAGCTGCCCAGCGAGGGGGGAAGGACCAGCTGCAAACTGGAACCTTGTGGCTCCCCTCCTGCTATTTTCTTTTTTTAAGAAACAGAGTTTACATTAACTTTATTGTTGTTTTTAATTTATTTTTTAATATATTTTATTGATTTTTTACAGAAAGGAAGGGAGGAGAGCTAGAAACATCGATGAGAGGGAAACATTGATCAGTTACCTCCTGCACACCCCCTATTGGGGATGTGCCCACAAAGCAAGGTACATGCCCTTGACCGGAATCGAACCTGGGACCTTTCAGTCCACAGACCGACGCTCTATCCACTGAGCCAAACCAGTTTCAGGTGTTTTTAATTTATTAAGAGAGGACGGGGTGGGAGGGAAGAAGGGAGAGAGAGATTTGTTGCTCCTCTTACTTCCAAGCTCACGGGTCACTTCTTGTATGTGCTCTGACCCACCACTCCCAGCCAGGGGCCTCCAGCTGCTTCTGACCTGCATGGGCCATGCACCGGCTGCCTCAGCATCCTTTAGGACCAGCGAGCTTTGGTCTTGACGATGGGACTACACAGTCTCGACATTTTCACTTCTTTCTAGGATGTTATGATGCTATTATTTATTAAAAATAAATGTGAGCACAAAAACAAAGAGAAGAAAACATTGCAAAAAGATTCAACATTGAAAAGCACCCCTTGGGGCACAGACGCAATGTTTCTCTCAGGCTCTCCTCCTCGGCACACGGTTAGGGGAAGAGAAATGAGGCCCCAGCGAGAGCAGGCGTGTTTATTAAAGCACAAATTCTGCACACGTTAGTAATAAATGCAGTCGTGAAAGCTTATCCTTACAGTAAGTAGAGCTTCAGAAAACATATCTAATATGTTAATGCATTACATGAAGAGCCTGCATCGATACATGCTTTGCAAAGATTTCCAGCAGCTCAGTGCCAACACAGTCCATCGCCCGAGGAGAAAGCTGTGCTAAGAAAGTCAGAGCAGCTAGAGGCCTCGGGGAGCCAGGTCAGGGCCAGGGCAGCACAGTGCGCTTCCGCTGACACCCCAAACCCCCGTTCTCCCCAAGTGCTTGCAGCAGCACCGGGTTCCACTCCTGCCCACGTCACCCGGAGAAGTTCTGGAAGACTTCGGCAGCCTCCACCCAGCTTTGGAAGCAGGCCCGCCCCTGCTCCCGGACCTGCTTGCGCCCTTTGTCGGTGATGACCTCCCCACTGGGCTTCAGGATCACAAGCCTGGGGGTGGCTGTGATGCAGTACCTGGTCCTCAGCTCACTGCGAAGAGAAGGGTGCAGGCCAGGGGTCAGCGGGGTAGGGGAGCCGCTGCCACACCTCTACAGAGACCCCGTGTTCCCAGTCACCCCTGCACAGCCTTAGAGTCAAGCCCGCCGAGTCCGTGAGCCTCCTCCCTTACTGCGTCGCCCCCGCAGCCTCCCCAGAGTGTCTGCAGTTGGGCTGCTCCGGCCTGTGCTGCCCATGCCCCCAGCACAGACACAGCATGGCTGCTGTGCCTTCCGTCTTAGTTCATTTTAATTTAAATGTAAGGACCACATGTTGCTCATGGCTATTTTACTACACAGTGCAGCTCTAAACCACAAAAACCCAACATAGTCATATGCTCTCCGCATCCCAGGAGGCTGACATCAGGGTGGTAAACGTTGAAGTTCTGAGTCCTAAGTAAAGGCGCAGCCTTGCCGGGCTTTCTGCCCTCCCCACGCAGGGGCACACTGACAACACTGTGGATGAGACCTCTCGGCTCCTTTCCCACTGTGTGTGGCCCCATAAGAGGTTCGCACTCTTTTAGGGAAAGGAGCATCATCCTTAGTTTTGCAAATCTCCCCACACCCTTACCAGGGTTCTGCCCTCAGAACAGAACAGCTGGTGGCAATCTCTCCAGTGCCCTGGACCAGCTCACAAGGGCCTCACATCACCAGCAATCGATTGCCCCATCTTCCTGGAGCAGCGGTGCCTCTGAGAATGGGATCCCTGCATCCTTCTCCCACTTCTCTCCCCCAGTCCCCCCCACCCCCACGTCCTTCAAATCCATCAGGGTGTAGTCTCCCGCCCCTGGGGGTGGAGCCCACTTACCCAAGTTGGCCAACCCCCAAGGCCTTCATCACCCTCCCAGCAGCGGGACTGAAGGGAAGAGCAGGCGGTGCCCTAGACAGCTAGGGTAGCAGAGGCCCGTGGGCTTGCTGCTCAGTCCCCCTGACCCTCCTGGTACACAAAATGGCATTAACTAGCTGTGTGACCTGAGCACACTAATTAACCTCCCCTGCACTGAGGATTAACAGAACCCACGTCCCAGAGTGTGAAGATTAAATGATGAATATGCACTTAACTCAGCTAAGGGTTTGGTGCACAGTGTGGACAAAAAACGGGCCCATACTAAACCTGACAAGCTGGGGAGGGGGGGGGCGGGGGGGAGCTGCATGGCGGCCTTACAAACCCAGACCTGAAGTTACCACATGGGATCGTCTGAAAGGAAAGCTTCTTCGCTAAAATGGAGTCACGCCGTGACCAGTGTGGCTCCATTGGTAGAGCTTCGTTCAGAGCACTGAAACTCTGCGGCTTCCAGCTCAGGTCAGGGCATGTATGGGAAGCAGCCCATTGATATTTCTCTTTGTCTCTCCCTCCCTCCCTGCCTCTCTCTAACATTAATTAAAAACATATATATCCTCAGGTGAGGATGTGAAAGAAAGATCAAGTCCTGGAAGGTAGTCAAGTGCTAGGCTGGTATCTACCTTGACAAAGGTCAAGGCTGAGCTTTGGAACGAGTAACCCTCTGTCCAGACCCCTCAGGGCACAACCCCCAGCACAGGCAGAGACCACAAGCCCCCTCATTGTTATCAGGATCCTGTTGTTAACTGTCCTGCACCTGTCTGTGTAAAAGATGTGTCTGTTCCTTTCGTTTTCATCCAGCCCCAGAGATTTCCCTGCCTTGCTTCCTCCTGCCTCCCTAGTCTATCACCAATGAATTCCATGTGGCCCCCTTACCACTGCCCCCTCTGATTCCGGTGTATAAAAGATGACTGGGAAAACTGTCATCTTCTGAAGCATTTCCTCAATCTATTAAGATTTTGCTTCCCAGCAATTGTCATCATTTTTGCTCAAATTAACACAGAAAAATTCTTACAGGTTGGGACTTTCGCTGACAATAAATGCTGGCTATTCTGACTGGGTGGACGGACACAGCCCAATTCCAGCTGGGCCAGGTGCCCAGTCTCGGCCCTTGGCTATACCAATCAGCACGGAATGGGAAACAAGCAGACTGGAACCAGTCACCCTGTGGAGCATGGGAGAGGAAGGTGCGAGAAGGCGCAGCCCAGGACTCCACAGCCTCTTATCACCAGGAGACTGGATGGTGCAGGGGCCACACAGACAGCGAATGCAGAGCCAGGGAGCTGCCCCTCAGGGGCTCCACCCCAGACCAGCCGGGCCTGCGGGGTTCCAGCTAGGCGAATCCATAACCTTCCTTTGTTTCCCCTTCAATTTGCTGCCGTGGTTTCAATCACGGGCAACATTAAATCCAGCTGACACAGTAAATGGGCTCTGAAAAGCAAGGAGGAGGCTTAGAATAGACATTCTGTTTCTCCGGCTTATCCTGGAAGAGCACAGTGTGGCCTCAAATCCTCCGCCCTGCAGCCTCTGCCTGGGGACACTGTAACCTGGGAGCCGCACAGGAGCCATCCCTTCCCCTGGCCTCGGCTCGGTCCCCCTGGATGCTGAGCTGTGCCCAGGGAGAACGGCTGTGCCTTGTGACTGGGCTGAGGGAAATGTGGTCACAGAGCACTGTAACCCTTTCCGGGACATCTGAGAGCCCAGCTCCTCCTGGGCCTCGGTGCTGGTGCTGGTGCAGGTACTGGTGCTGGTTTGGGTGCGGGTGCAACGCTGGTGTCCTCCCTTCACCTAACGCAGTGCCTCACACTCCCTGGCACAGCCGCCTCTCAGACACCATAGCAATTCCTGGCTCCAGTCTCTTTCCATCTCGGCCAACAGCAGACGGTTACAGAGCAAAACTCCCTACTTATCGCAGCCATGCACCCAACACACACCTGCAGACACAAAGCTCTGCACAGTGTCCAGTCTGACCTCAGGCTACAGAGAACCCCAAACACTCAGCACGCAGTGTCAGGCTCCAGCCACGGGGGGCACGGCCGCCCAGGCCACAGAGCCTCCGGTGTCCCCAAGGGCGCGAGGCGAGGGGGCTCCCAGGTGGGGGGTGTGGTATGCAGAGCCTTTCAGGGCGGGAGCGTGGGAGTGTTCTGGAACTTCAGTTGTCCGGTCTGGACAGAGCACAGCTGGGAAGGGCAGGGATGGCAGACATGTGTGGTCGGTGGCTGGAGGCAGGGAGGATGCAGACTGGGAGCCACAGCAGAGCCGGGAAGGGCACACAAGACCAGACCTGTCTTTGATGGATGAAGCAGGTGTGAGAATAAGAATCCATTAAGTGGGGACTCTGAGGCTGGGGCTGGTTAGAACATTCTAGCAGACAGGCCTAAATGAAGTAGCAATGAGTAGAAAGACAGGAAAGGACTGGAGAGCCAGACTCTGCAGATTCGGGCCTGACAGGGATGCACTGGGTCAGTAAGTGCAGAAGGAGCTGGGCCCTTGGGCGGAAAGGCAGTCGGCAGCTTGGCCCATGCACTGACTCGCCATGGCTCTGAGGGCTCCACCGGGACAGAACCACACCTGCTGGTTTTCCATCTGTCCCACCCTGGTCACCTGGAGGCCAAGGTCTCCATCCATGTGGCTGGGGCGGGGGGGGGGGGGGGGGGGGGGGGTAAGAACCAGGGAGGGGAGGGGAATACTCCAGAGCACAAGTGAGCACAAGTGTTGTCAAGAGACAATCACAGAATGTGTATGACATGCACACTGAGCAAGCCTCACCTGCAGAGCACATGCCACAGGAATGCCCACTGGCAAATGCAGCTGTTACTTCTCCCTGGGCCCATAACACAGGGAAGTAAGCCAGACAGGATGGCCTGTCTGTGGCACTACCCCAAGTTCAGGCCTGGAAGGTCTCCATCCTCTTGCCTACACGCCTCTGCCTGAGGGAAGCCAGTAAGCAGGCATGCCTCTGTCCAGGCAGAGGAGTTGCACTCACACTGGTTTTGCGGGGGCAGCACTGCAAAGCCAAGGTCTAAGGAGCTCTGAGGACAAGGGGGCATGTCCCTCCCACCGGGCCTTTGCCGTGGTCCCAGCCCAGCCATGCCAACGTGGCCTGAGGGCTCCATGGTGATTTCCTCTCTTCCTTCCATGAGTCGCCGTCAGCAGTCACCCGATGGACAGCTGTTACCATCAACTAGCTGGTTCATATCACAAATGGGAAGAAGGCAAAAGGGAGCCAGACATCGTCAGCATGGCTATCTGGCAGCTTCACCAGGGAGCTGCAACTTCACACACCCTCGTCCGTCCGTCCGTCCCCTGCAGATCCCTGCGGGAAGGGGGCCAACGAAGGGAAAGGGGTGCATGGGCAGGGAGGTCCCGGTGACACAGGACAGTAGCTTGCCTGTCAGTCTAACCTGAGAAAAGATAACTGGCTAGAGGGGGTAGCCACTGCCAGTGCACAGAATCCTGAAGGATTCACTGGAGGAGTTCCCAGTCACAATCCACAGCAAAGGAACCCTCTCTCCCGTGTTCCTCCAGCTTCACTCCTGCTTCCTTGAACCGAACTAGCCTGCCTGGCATGGGGCAACGCTGCCTGGCATATGGCCCCGGACCCCACAGGCAATGGCCTGCAGCTGGAACACAAGCTGAGCCAGCCAATGCAGGACCAGACTTGCATGTGGACTTCCTCCGTGCAGAGGGAGGTGGGGCCTCGGTGGGGAACTCCCTAACGTGACAGCACCAATACAGCTCCCACACCTCCCCCTCCCGTGGAGGCCTCAGGAATTCTTGTGGAAGTGAAAGAGCTCCACTCCCATCAGCAATGTGGGGACACAGAGGACACCCCATCAATAGCATAGTCACCGAGGGAAGACAGGGCCCGAGGGGGCCCAGGAGATTACTCCCCCACCCCATAGCACCAAGCAGAGTGCTATGTTCTGAACACATTCTGCTTGGATGTTCCCTACATTTTTTTAAAAATATGTATTTTTATTGATTTCAGAGAGGAAGGCAGTGGGAGGGAGAGAAACATCAATGATGAGAGAGAATCATTGATCTGCTGCCTCCTGCACGCCCCCACACTGGTGATCAAGCCCAAAACACAGGCATGTGCTCTGACCAGGAATCAAACTGTGATCTCCTGGTTAATGGGTCGACACTCAACCACTGAGCCACTCCGGCTGGGCTGCTCCCTACATTCTTTAGTCCACCTTGGTGGTGGTAACTTCCATTTGCTCCTTATCTGATCCCATGAATGCAGGCTGGGATAAGCAGAACTGAGGGCATTGCTCCAAGAACCCTACAAAATACCCCATTTCCAAACCTGCAGACAGCAATGACAGGGTTAACAAAGCGCAGTCTGGGAAGGGGCAGGGACAAGGAGCCAACTTCCCTAAAGGAAAGCCTGAGGCTGGTCCCTCCTGAGGTCAGGTTCCTGCCTGAGACCAGGCCAGATGCTCGGTGCCTGCGGCCGCAGGGGCCCATCTGGGGGAGCAGAGGGTGTTCAGGGGGAGCTCCCTCCTTAGTAGCACAGCCCAGCGCCACGCAGACAAAGTGCCACGTGGTTCTGGCTCATGCATGAGCACAGCCCAGGCAGTGTGACGCATCCTATGCTAGCATCCCACGCCTGCCTGATCACCTACCAGCAGTCTGGGGCTGGGCTCTGCCAGGGCCTGAGTTCCTGGCTTGACTACTGTCACTTTCTTTTCTTTTTTAAAAAATATATTTTTATTTATTTCAGAGAGGAAGGGAGAGGGAGAAAGAGATGAAAACATCAATGATGAGAAAGAACCACTGATCGGCTGTCTCCTGCACACCCCTTTCTGGGGATCAAGCCACAACCGTGCATGTGCCCTTGACCAGAATCGAACCCTGAAACCTTCAGTCCTCAGCTCTATCCACCAAGCCAAACCAGCTAGCAGAATGTCACTTTCAAAACTGTGTAACTTTGAAAGCTGTCCATACTTGAATACTAAGCAAGTCAAAAGGCATTTTACACTGGGCATGATGCTAAATGCATGCTTTTGCCCGGTGAATCCGGTCATGTGGGCCCGTCTTTGCGTCTGTCCTGCTCCTGAGAGAAGCAGGCTGTCGGCCCGCTCGCTCCGCAGCTCGAAGCAGGTGTTGGAGAAGAACCCCTCCCCGGACTCCCCAGTCAGCTTCCACTGTTAATCGCCCAGAAGGATCTCCTTTGAGGACAATTAATTGCGGAGGATTCCTGCCACAGGGAAACCACAATCCCCAGGAAAACGCACAGGTGCCGTAAACAAGGCCCAGAAACCTCCCTGCGGCGGCCGCGGGGGGACTGGCATGCACCCCGGGAGGCGCTCTAAGCCCAGGCCTGGGCGCTGGCACCCAGACCGCCAGCCACCCACCCAAGGGCCAGAGCCAGGCTCCCCTCTGGCCCTCCTCCAGGCCCCCCTCCACCTCCCTCCTCTGCCTGCCCCTCCCCCTCCCCCTCCAGGCCGCCTCCCCTCCCCCCTCCAGGCCCCCTTTCCCTCCCCCTCTTCCCTCCCCCTCCCCTTCCAGGCCCCCTCCCCCCTCCAGGCCCCCTCCAGGCTCCCTCCTCCTCCCCCCCTCCCCCTCCCCCCGCAAGTCTCCTCCCGGCTGAGGAGCCCCGGGCTCAGCCTGGAGAACTGCAGAGATTCCTGGTTCTTTCAGTGACTCCCGAAACCCGCAAACAGGAACAGGACAAGACCCCTCTGGGCGGGGCTTGTGTCCCCTCCGACTTCGGCCTCCGCTGTGCCAGGGGCTGTTCCCCACGGCCCGGCCGCCCCGACGGTCAGTCCCAGGCGGGAAGGATGGACCCAGGCCCCCCTCCTCCGGGCCCCCTTCCGAGCCCGCACCGCCGGCCTGGGCTCCTCCCCTCCGGCCCCGCACCGCCGTCCGGGCAGCACCCGCCGCCTCCCGCCGAGCACCGCCCCTCCCCTCCCCTCCCCTCCCAGGCGCTGGGGCTGCGCGCTTCGCGGCTCCGGGGTCGGGAAAGGCGGGCTCTCCGGGCGGGGCGTCCCGGTTCTCCGGGAACCGCTCCAGCCTCCCTGGGAACCTGCGCGCAAACTACTGTACCCACCCGACCGGGGCTCCTGACTGCGGGACAGGAGGGCGGGGTGCGGGGGGGGGGGTCAGGGGAGAGGGGCGCGGGGGGCGCTGGGGGCGCCGGGGAGACGGGCGCGGGGGGCGCCGGGGAGAGGGGCGCGGGGGGCGCCGGGGAGAGGGGCGCGGGGAAACGGGCGCGGGGGGCTCCGGGGAGACGGGCGCGGGGGGCTCCGGGGAGAGGGGCGCGGGGGGCTCCGGGGAGAGGGGCGCGGGGGGCGCTGGGGGCGCCGGGGAAACGGGCGCGGGGGGCTCCGGGGAGACGGGCGCGGGGGGCGCCGGGGAGAGGGGCGCGGGGGGCTCCGGGGAGAGGGGCGCGGGGGGCGCCGGGGAAACGGGCGCGGGGGGCTCCGGGGAGACGGGCGCGGGGGGCGCGGGAAGAGTGGCGCGGGGGGCTCCGGGGAGAGGGGCGCGGGGGGCTTCGGGGAGAGGGGCGCGGGGGGCGCTGGGGGCGCCGGGGAAACGGGCGCGGGGGGCTCCGGGGAGACGGGCGCGGGGGGCTCCGGGGAGAGGGGCGCGGGGCGCCGGGATCCCCGCCGGCCGCACTCACTGGCGGAAGGGATCGTGGAAGGGGATCGCCAGCCAGGAGCCCGGCAGCTGGCGCAGGAAGGCCTCCATGTCCCGGGCGCTGCGGTCGGCGGACACGAGCACCACGGCCAGGGGCGCCGGCGGGCGCGCCCGCTCCACCAGCTCCGCGTAGAAGCGGCGCAGCAGCGGCGTGAAGTCCCGGCTGAGCGCGCACCGGCCGGAGGCGAAGTACAGCGCCACCAGCTTGTCCCGCAGGAAGGCCTCCGCCTCCTCCGCCTCCACCGCCGCCTCCGCCTCCATCCCCCCGCCGCCCGCCGCCAGCCGCCGGCCCCGCAGCTCGTCCGCCATGGCTGCGGGAGCGGGCGGTGAGCGGGCGAACAGTCCCGGGCAGCGGGTCTGCGGGGGAGACCGGCGGGAACTCAGGATCCCGCGGCGCCTCCGGCAGCGAATTGCCCGCGAGCTCTAGCGCTGCCCGCCGCCCCGCCCCGCCCCGCCCCCCACCGCCCAGCACCGCACGCACCGGCCCGCCTCGCCCCGCAGTCTCCGTGCTCTCGGCCCTCCCTCTCCTCTCCCTCCCTCTACCCCCTCGTCCTCGCGCACTCCCCTTCCCCGCCCGCCCGCCTGCTGGAACTCTACCCCCCAGCTTGGCCCGGAGGGTCTGTCCGGAGGGGAAGGGCGGGTGGAGGGGATCCGCACCCTTTCTCTCCCGGATTGCCAGGACACCCTGCGCCTGGCCTTGAGGGAGCTGCTGCTTCTTTTTAATATCTATTTATTTTTAATTGTTTGTTATGGAAATGTTCACATATACATAAAAGTAGAAATAGTGTAAGTAAGCCCGATGTTCCCGTTAGTCCAGCGTCAACAGAGAAGCAGGTGTTAGTGCCCCGCACCGTGCTGGGGGGAGGGACACGCTGGGCGCAGAATGTAAGGAGCCATTAACTGGGTGATGAAGAAAAATACTAGTTTTATTTTATCCTCGCCCAAGGATTTTTTGATTTTTCAGAGAGGAAGAGGGAGGGAGAAACAGAAAGAGAGAGGGTGAGAGAGAAGCGGATTGGTTGCCTCTCACACGCCCAGAGGGGATCCAAGCCGCCCTTCAGTGTTTGGGAGGATGCTCTAACCAACTGAGTCCCAGCCAGGGTACGAATGCAATATTTTAAAACCTCAAAATTGCCCTAGCCGGTTCTGCTCAGTGGATAGAGCGTTGGCCTGAGGACTGAAGGATCCTGGGTTTGATTCCTGGCAAGGGCACATTCACATGCCCGTGTGGAGTGTGCCGGAGGCAGCCAATCAATGATTCTGTCTCATCATTGATGTTTCTATCTCTCTCTCTCTCTCCCTCTCCCTTCCTCTCTGAAATAAAAATATACTTAAAAAAATAAAAACTCAAAACTAATGCCCAAAAGTTCAAGATGAACAAAACATCAAACATGGAAATAAGACAGTATGACCCCCTGCCCTCAGACTCAGAGGGCAGGCACCTCCCCGTGTCTGCACCCCCCCCCCCCACACACACACACACACACAAACCCCTAGGCGAATGAGGACAATTCATTGTGCCGGCTCTGGAGAGGGAGGGGTAGGGCTGGGGAGGGGAGAAGGTAGATGCCTGGGAGCAAGGCTGTCCTCTCCAGCACCATGACACTGACACGTTGGGACACTGTGCACGTGGCAGAGCCCGGCTGCGTGCCCATTCCGCTGCCGGACAGATGGCCCGTGAGGAGCGCTACCACAGCCCCGTTCACTGTCGTCTCAGAGCAGTAGGAATTTACAGGCAAACCTCAGCTCTTCAAAGTCTCCCATCTCCAAGTTGGTTCTCAACAAAGTTGTTCACGGAAAATGTCTCAGTTGTCAAACAAAACCAGTTCTTGGCCCAACAATCCTTTTGCGCTGATACCTGTATGGTCAGATCCATGTCTCTCAGGCATGAGTACGGGTCAGTTCACACTAAACCTCCATTTGTTAACATCTCAGGAAATTGTGCTGTGAATATTTTTTGCTTTTATTGATACTGATTATTATTGTTGTTGTTGCTATTAAGCTAGAGGCCTGGTGCACGAAATTCATGCATGGGGGAGGAGGGGTCCCTCAGCCCAGCCTATACCCTCTTTCAATCCAGGAACTCTTGGGGGATGTCCTCAGGATCAGGCCTAAACTGGCAGTCTGACATCCCACTTGCAATCCAGGACCACTGGCTCCTAGTTGCTTGCTTGCCTGCCTGCCTGCCTGCCTGATCACCCCTAACCACTCACCTGCCTGCCTCATCACCCCTGACCACTCTGCCTGCCTGCCTGCCCCTAACCCCTCTGCCTGCCTGCCTGATCGCCCCTAACTGCTCACCTGCCTGCCTGATCCTCCCTAACCACCTCTGCCTTGGTCCCTGCTGCTGCAGCTTCATCTGGAAGGACATCCGGAATGATATCTGGAAGGTCGTTTGGCTGTCTGGACTAATTAGCATATTATGCTTTTATTATTATAGATATGTACAATAAGTCACTATGATTCCTAAGGTTAGTAATAGCAACAAAGTGAAAAGGAAAGTTGTGAGAACAGTAGAGCTTAAAAAAGAAGTAATTGCTAAGTATGATAGAGATGTTTGAGTGTCTGATCTGGCTACCGAGTTTGACGTGGCGAAGTCAGTGATGAGCACACCTTTAGAACATAAAGAGGCCATCCAGGATGCTGATGGTGCTAAGGCTGTGACCGTGTTCACCGAACAATCACAGGCAATGAAGAGGCAGGAAACTGTTGCTGATGTGGATAAAGGGCAAGCAGCAGGGAACAGCATTTCGGAGGCAGTGATGTGTGGAAAGCAAAGATGCTGTGGCCTGACCGCCTGACCCTGGAACAAGGCTGCCCTGGCTTAAGCCTGGATAAATGCAAGGAGAGCACTGCGGCCTTTGACAAGCGGGTGAGGATAATTGCGGGACAGAATTTCAACAATGCGGAGCGGCAGGGGTCCTATTCCCCAAGGAGTGCTCATTGCGATGAGACAGCCTCTCTGGGAGAACATGCCCAGGAGGACCTGCATCCCACGGCAGGCTCATTGCTGGGCACGAGTTATGGAGAACAGGCAGTATGACTGAGTGTGGGAGGAAGTGCGACTTTTCATTGAAGCATCTGAAAACCCTCTCATTTTCAAGAAAAACAATGTCATAAAAAACAAGTTGAATGCGATATGGAGACCTCATAGCACAGCTTGGGTAAACAGGCAGTTTCTTACTGAGTGGATTCATGAAGTGTTTGCGCCGTGTGCAAAGAAATACCCCGGGAACACACTGCCACTCAGGGCCTTGCTGTCCAGGACGGGGCTGCCCGCCTGCAGCCTCGGAGCGGAGCCGGAGGAGCTCAGCTTCCTCACTGCCCAGTCCTCCCCTCCAGCCCATGGCCCAGCAGGTCATTTCTACCTCCACACAAAGGTCTTGTTTCAGAGGTGGTTTTCTTTTTATTCTCCTCGTGCAATATATTATTCAATATTCGCTATTCAAAATTGATGTGTTTTTATTGAGTTTTAGAGAGAGAAAGGGTGAAACATCAATGTGAGAGAAACATGCACACACCCTGGGAATGTGCCCTGACTAGGAATCAAACCCAAGTCCTTTTGGTGTTTAGGATAACACTCCAACCAACTGAGCCATCGGCCAGGGCAGAGGTGTTTTCAGGTGACCTGTGAGGCCAAGGCAAACTCATAGGTCAACAGAGCCAAATGTCAACAGTACAATGATTGAAATTTTTTTTGAGAGCCAAAAACCAACTTTTGTGCATGGGCCACAAAGTTTCAATCGCACTGTACATGCATGCCTGCCCGTGGTATTTTGTGGAAGAGCCACATTCAAGGGGCCAAAGAGCTGCATGTGGCTCGGGAGCCAAACTTTGTCAATCATTGCTCTAGAGCACATGTGTCAAACACAAGGCCCGCGGGCCAAATCCGTCCCGCCAGGCCTTGCAATGTGGCCTGCACCACGCTGTCATCACTGCACTCCGCTGCATTTCCATCACAATGACAGTTTATGACTGTTCAGTAAACCATTAGGCCTGCGATTTAGGCTGGATTTTAGATTTTGGCCCCTTCTCTGATTGAGTTCGACACCCCTACTCTAGAGTCTAGACACCAGAGCACAGTGAGCCTGGAGCACGTGACTGTTGCGGTGGGAGATGGAGGGAAAGCAAAGGGGAGAGACATAAGTAAAGTCAGTGTCGAGGAAAAAATAGAGGGAAGCTATCCTGCAACTTCTAGGAAATCTCCACCAATGGAGCAAAGAAAAAACAAAAGACTTCTATTATTTTGTGAGCACCAAACCAAACTGGGTTGGGGTCTCAGACTATTCGCTCATATGATTGCAAAGACAGACACAAACTCCCAGATTTGAGAGGGTCACCGGGCCACTAGTATGCATATAAGGTCTTTGTTTAATCTCTTCCCACCCACAAACCCCCTTCCCTCTGAGAATCATCAGTCTGTTCCATTTCCATGCCTCTAATTCTATTTTACTTACCAGTTTATTCTGTTCATTAGATTTCTTATTTGTTTATTTTGATTTTTAGATTCAATTGTTGATAGATATGTAATTATTGCCATTTATTGTTCATATTTTTGTTCTTTTTCTTCTTATTCCTGTTCTTAAAGAAGAACCTTCAACATTTCATGTAATCCTGGTTTGGTGGTGATGAACTCCTTTAGCTTTTTCTAGTCAGTGAAGCTCTTTATCTGACCTTCAATTCTAGATGATAGCTTTGCTGGGTAGAGTAATCTCAGTTGTAGGTCCTTGCTGTTCATCAATTTGGATATTTCTTGCCACTCCCTTCTGGCCTGCATAGTTTCTGTTGAGAAATCAGCTGACAGTCATATGAGCATTCCCTTATAGGTAAGCAACTGCTTTTCTCTTGCTGCTTTTAATATTCTCTATCTTTAACCCTTGGCATTTTAATTATTATGTGTCTTGGTATGGGCCTCTTTGAGTTCTTCTTGTTTGAGACTCTCTGTGCTTCTGTACTTGTAAGTCAACTTCTTTCACGAGGTAGGAGAAGTTTTCTGTCATTATTTCTTCAAATAGGTTTTCAATATCTTTTTTTTGTATTTATTTATTTATTTATTTATTTATTTTACATATTTTATTGATTTTCCCCCCTCCCTCCCTCTCACCCATCCCCTCCCTCCCCAGAGTTCCATGTCCATTGGTTGTACTTATATGCATGTATACAAGTCCTTCAGTTGATCTATTATCTCCCCCAGATCCTCCTCCCCTCCCCGCTGAAATTTGACAATCTGCTTGTTGCTTTACTGTCTCTGTATCTATCTTTTGGTTCATCAGTTTATAATGATCTTTATTATCCACAAATGAGTGAGG